CTACTTTTACATTTAACATGAATTATGAAATAAATATCTCCATAGTTTTAAGTTACTGTTTTTTTTAAATAAAATTCTTCTAGTTCTCCTTATTTTATAACATCTGATCTTTAAAATTCTTATATTCATTTCTGAGTTCTATTCTATGGGTCTGTATCACTATTTTAAACTCAGAACAGACTGAGAATTGCTGTTGACATTCATCCAACACTGTAGACATTCAGCACAAACATACAATGTATTTGGGCGATAATGTATGTGTTTACAATCAATTGGCAGCAGTCATGCCTAAGTAAACTTTAATAGATATACATATTATATATATTATAATATATGTATATAATATATATATATATATATATATACATACATATTAGATATTCTAAATCAGCTCTTATTATCCCAGATAAATACAGTATTGTTTTAAGAAAAGCCCTATTCATTTCAAAATGTAGAAAAATAAGTTGTAGAAGTAACTTTTCCTAAGAAAGGTGGGATGTTAATCTCCCTGAACTGGAGTTACAGACAGTTGTGAGCTGCCATGTGAGTGCTAGGAATTGAACTCAGGTCCTCTGGAAGAACAGCCAGTGCTCTTAACCTCTGAGCCATCTCTCCAGCCTGAAACATGGGATGTTCATAGATACACACAGATGTTTTTCCTACCTTCCATACAGGTTTCTTCTACATGTTTATTTACACTTACATTTTTAGTTGATAAGGTTTTACTATGACAAATTATACATAGGTTCAATAGGCCACTGTTATGCTTCCTAATTACTATTAGGAAAAAAAAAAAACAAAAAAAAAAACAGCCGAGACAGAGTGTTGCAAAGCCCCACCCACTCACCCCAAAAAATCCTATTTTTTGTAGTTGTCTCCAACAAGTGTCTCTTAGTAAAAGTGATGTTTAAATACAGGGAATATACATTGCTTCTGAACTTTGTCCCTATTGCTTTTATAAGTGGAACTTTTTTTCTTAAAGAATGGAGGTTGAAAGTTTGTTTACCCAACACACAGTATGGTGGTTGATATTTGAGTATTAACTAAACATGTGTACTTAGATTTAATCGTTGCCATAATTTTTTGATATTTTTGAGTTTGGGAGACGCTGTGGATCAGACCAGGACCTTGCTCACACTCTGGAATCCTAGAAGTCTTTTTAAATGAATATATTTAGAATATATGCAACATCTTAGGGTTAGCAAATGGTGACATTTTCCTGCATTTCATCTCAGATCATTTCTATTGCTTGCTTCTTTTATGACCGGACAGCATTAGTGCTGGTAGAGTTTCTTCCACTTCTGAATTGTGCAAGAGTTTCTCTACCACCTCCCCTTTAGGAATCAGGTTGTTTTGTGGAAAATGCTTTTTATTCCCCGATCTGTTCTAATTTTATTGGTAAATCATTTTCACCTAACACTGTTTATTTATTCCGTTGTTCTTACTTATTGCAATGTGTGAGGCAATAAGGGGACCATGTCTGCACGATGACACAGGTTTGGGTTTTTACTGCCTTCTCCATGTCACTAGTCATTCAACGGGGAAAGCCATGCTCACAACCATGTACGGATCCCTTCACACTGATCTCCATGCTTGGGATGGCTAATCTCGGTTATCAACTTGACTGCACCTGGAATCAACTAAAACCCAAGTAGCTGGGCACACCTGTGAGGACTTCCTTGATGGAATTTGAGGTCAGAGGACCCACTTTAAATTTGAGCCACACCTTTTAGTGGCAGCCAATATAAAGGGACAGAGAAGAAGGAGGCTCCTGCTTTTTGCCTGTTTGTTTTCACTCTTGCTGGTAAGTTCATCTATCCTGTTGCTGAGGCATTCCTTCACTGTTATTAGAGCCTACTTCTTTGGGATTCCAAGGTAGACTGAAGAACAGCAGGTCTCTAGAATTTCCCTGGGATTCCAGCACCAGATTGGGAATGCAAAGACATGTGTTGAACAACTACCAGATCCTTGGCCTTTTTTTGTTGGGAGACATTCAGTTTTGGACTACTCAGACCACAGCCTGTAAGCCATTCTAGTAAATCACATTTTAATACACATATATGTATATACATATATATTCATTATATACACACAATCCCCCCCTCCTTCCTGCTCTCCCTCCATCTAAATTATGTTTCTGTAGAGAACCCTAACACAGTGCTCACGTAATCACCTGGAGACACATGTGCACAAACGGGAAATTTCTGTTCAATAGCAGGACCACATTCTGCCTCTTGCTCTTTTTGCTAAACAAAAACCTGAGAGAAATCCCTCCTAGACGAGCAGCGGCCGCTCTAATTAACTCTTTTAATTATGTATTCCTCAGTGAAGATGAAGATATCCTATGCTCCGACTGTTTTGTGTGAAAAAATAATGCTTCTTATGAACAAAGGTTCCATAATTTATGAGTCTTTTTTCTGTACCTGCAAAGGTACTAGACTGTTACCAGGCATATGACGGGGCAGCTAGCAAATGGCCTTTGATCTTAACTAATAGATTGATTTGGGGACAACCCCAGACTGCCATCTCTTTAGGTAAGGGTCAGGTACTGTTGAAACAATGACCCGAGCTTTCAGGGAAGTCACAGATGGCTGGCCATGGAGTGAGAAATATTTTGAAATAACATGATCAAGAGGAGTCAGGTAGGGGAATATGGCTAAAGCCGAGAGGGAGTGAAATGGAGAGAGAGAGGAAGAGGGAGAGAGGAAGAGAAGAGAGAGAGGGAAGGAGGGATTTGTTCTTACCAATACTCCTTAAAGAATCATTCCAGAACCGGGGGGATAGCTCAGTGGTAGAGCGCTTGCTATGGGATACCTGAGGTCTGGGTTCACTCACTGATACTGTCTGGTGGGGAGGAGGATGAGTCCAGAGATAGTTTTCAAGACTAGCTTAAGGGAGATTACCAAATTCTTGGGTGGATAAGATGGCTCAGGAGGTAAAGGCACTTGAGGTCAACTCTGATGACCCGAGTTGGCTCCGCAGGAGCCCCATGGTGCAAGGAAATCAACCCCACTAGGGTTCTGACCACATTCACGCACAAGCATGCTCGGAATAATAAAATGTAAATTTTTAAGAAAGTAACTAAATTCTTATCTCTAATTCGTAGACAGTGATGTAATGACTGTGTGGGGAGACTCTGCTCGGCCCCGTGGTAAGCCACAGTGGGGACTCGGGGTGGGGAGCAAAGAACTAGTAGTTGTTTGTGTGCAAGCCTTTTGGCTTTGTTTTGTTGGAGACAGGGTCTCGCGATGGCCTGAAACCTGCTGTGGAAACCACGCTGGACTCAAACTCACAGAGATCCTCCTGCCTCTGCCTCTTGAGTGTTGAGATTTAACAGGTGTGATCTATTACTCCTACTGGGTCTAAGCGTGTTTTGAAATGTTCCAGATGACATGCAAATGGTGATTTGGTTATATCACTCCTCCATCAGTAAGCTAATTTTATAAGCAGCACTTACAAGCTCCTTTTTTTCCTACGACACAGAGGTAAAGTGTCACCCTTCAGGGTTCTTTTAATGACAAAGGAAAAATGCTTTGTATAATCCTAACCACTTAGAGTCCTGAGGATATTAAAACTTCTTAATACTTTCTGCCTACTACTTAGCATCAAAGTCAGCTGGCTTATCAGACCAACTAGAGAAGAATTTGACTATCCCTGGGTATGGATGGCTGAACTTCATTTACCCTGAATCTGACCTCCTGGCACAGAGCTGGCAGGCATGTGTCTGGAGTTTTGGAGACCAGCCTCATTCCAGAAGCCCAGCAGAAAGTGACACTAGCAAGTAACTTTCGGTGCATGAGTTCTGACGGGTCATGGCTTGAAAGCTTGATTCTTTTATTATTTATCACTCATTAAATGCTCTGGCTTTCCTTTATTAAATGTTAAATCATCTTAAGTGGCATGGTTCTTGCTATCTGAAATGGCAAAGTGAGAAGAGAAAGTGGCCCATTTCCTTGTTAATGTGGCATTCAAATAAAACACAGTGAGTGTACCAGACGGGTCAACTGGCAGCCGACGGGGCTCTGTACAATTACTCAACACACAAGAGCCCCGATGAGGGAGAAAATGTCTCCTCACAGTACTGTGCAAGGAATTCTAGTCCCCTCAGGGCAGGGCAGGCATGTATCAGGGAGAGCTCTGTTCCGATAGGTGCTTGTGTTCCTTCTCTCATGCCAAGTCAAGAGCTTTCCAAGGGACCCGTCCGCTTTGGCACATCCTGCCGTTTCAATCCATGTGTGCAGACAGGTGTCCAAAGACCCAACACAGTGGTGTACAGACCAGTTGATCAAAACACAATCCCACAGCGAGCCACACTTCAGGGAGCTTCTTAACCACCACAAGTCTGAACTTATTTGTCTCTATTTTTAAAATCAAGGTGTATTTCCACTACATCAAAAAAAAAAAATTGTGTCTTCTCTTTGATTTCAACTACTGAAGGTCACCTTTACCTAGCAAGATGACAAAGTCCAGGAGGGCGGTCTGTGCCTTGACCAGGCTATTACTATATCCTCAGCACCTTGCAGATGGATGGCACCTGGTAGGCCCTCACCATTCACCAACAGAATGAATGGACTCCTGCCACTAAACCCATTTTATTGTTAAAAGATTTTCTTTATACCCATAAGGAAGCTGTGCCGTAGAAGAGAACATCAGAAAGAGAAATAAAAACAGTTTCTCTTACCCTCTCTCTGAGGTTTCGGATTATCTGAATCTTAGGGCATTTTTTAGGTCCAGATGAAATATCCAGCCAGTTTTCAAAGCTCCCTGCATGTGTGCAGTCTCCCCGAAAAGTGCACCTAAAAAAACCAACAAAACAGAAATCACCAAGTGATAAACTGGCAGCCATCCACATCCACATTAATCACAACTTCCCTACAATCAGCTTCAGCACAAAACACGTTGGGCTGTTGATTTTGGATGAGAATAGGAATATGATATTAAAATCAGGACAAGCAGTGAAGGAACAGCAGAGATGTGTGTGTGTGTCTGTATTTCATCAGGTCTAGGAGCAGAGGACACATGTTGACAACATGTTGAACTTAGACTCCTGAGCCATCTCTCAAGATGACATCGCCAAATACAGCCGTCCAAATCACATCCTCTCATGGATTCAAAAACACAGAGTTCCTGTGGGGAAATTCCTCCTAAGAACAGTCCAGAAAAGGTTTGTATTTTGTATACATTTTAGGTTTGCAATGCATTGCCAGAATACCAACCTAGGGAGTGATTCATTTTGTGTTAAAAAAAAAAAATAATAAAGCTACTGTTTTGTGCTTTGCAACATGATGATTAAATGAAAATATTTCAAGGGCAGAGTCTGCCCAAGAATATAATAAGACATTCCTTAACCATCTGCTTCAGAACATTTATTTAGACAGATACCAAATTATATCAAAAGATAGGAGTAAAACATTTTGCAAGGCCATCTTCCCAGGTCAGCCAGCTCAGAGGATGCCCCAAATAAATCTTAGGTTGTGGCCAGGGCCATGTACTCTGATAAACAGATGCTCTCAAAACTGTGATCACTGGCTTCCGTGATGTGTCGGTCACTCGAGGTCACATCCACTTACCAGATGGGCCAAGGAGAATGAATACCAAGTACCACATTATCTTCAAATGGCCCCGCCCCATGCAGACTTCGCATGAGTAACATGGAGTAGTAGCTTGAAATACTACATCCCCCTTTAGGCAGAGACTAAAATGAAGGTGAGGGTGAGTGAACACCCTTGAGTTTTAAAAAGAAAACTAAAAAACCCATGATTCACAGGATGCCCACACATCTAAGTGGTGACAGAAGTCACTGGGGACAGGGGAGCAGTGCCGTTATGAATGGACCCAAACAATACATCTGACTTCAAAAGATATTATTTCTTCTTCCTCTTTTTAATTCTTAACAACTCGGGCCTCGTGGCTTCTCTTTGATTCTCCGTTCATTTGAATATGACAAATATAGAATAGGAAGTTGGTGAGTTTCTCTAACCACCAGCCCCAACTACTCTTGCTACCCACCGAGAAACTGGGCTCCCCACGAGCACAGATGTAGCCCGACTCCCCCTATATCTGTATCTCCCCTCCAACTTCAGAACCAAAGGGGTTTTCATAAGCGATTCTCCAAGGCCGTAAATCTATCTGACCCATGATGGCTCACTCGCCCGTCACGGACGTTAAGTTCAAATTAAACCTCTCTCAATGTCAGGAGTTTGCCAGCACTGCGGCTCTGAGGCACAGAGAATGACGAGGCCGGTTCCTTATTTGTATCTGAAAAAGAACATGACTGACAAAAAACTCCCTGCCTCTTCTGGGCCCTCGGGTTTGTATCAGGGCACTTCCTCTGCCTAGACGAAAGAAGGGGAGAAAAAAATTAAGCCAAATTCTACAGAAACTCGAGTGCAAATATTTTTGCAGGCTCTTAATGCTGCCTGGAAGTCAAGGCCCGAGGCTGCCAAAAAAACAAGTGTAAAATATTTCATACAAATAGTGCTACAATTTGCCAATTTGTAGGCAGAAAAAACCAGCCATGCCGCGGAGTTATCACTCCTTCTCTGAACTATAGCATTTCTTGTCGGAACCACACATTTTGGTATTTAATCATATGCTGCCTTGAATTTACAACTTAACTGTTTCATAGGCCCATGCCATTTCTCCCCAAGAAAGCACTAAGCCCCTTGAAGGATAGGCGAGTATCTTGATGTTTCTTTAGCAAATCCCTCAGCGTCTGCCAGCGTGAGATGCAAATGCTAGGGTTTCGATAAATATTTTTGAATGAATGGATGAAATATGAAATCTCTATAGGTCTCTTCTGCAGGTGATTTTTCTTTCTAGAGCTGTAATTTATGTTCAATTCCTCTTTCCGGCAAAGACACCATTTTTCACATAAACCAAAAGTTTGGAGCCAGAGATCAAATTAGGAGTTAAGGTTAGTCTATTTTTTGAAAAAGAAAATGAGACAACATATATATATATAATGGGCTGTTCATTTTCTATTCCTCAAGAAACAAAACCTAGCCATGTTGCACATCTAAACATAAATTCTTTGTTTATGTAAGAAAGCCATCTCTGAAATTTTTTTTAACTCTCATTCCTTGCCCTTCACCGGTTTAAAAAAAATAAAATGAAAAAATAAAAAGTAAACCACAACACCAAGAATGTATAACCAGATGGCCAACCAACAACAGTCTCTTATTACTTCTCAAATATTGCAGATTGTAAAAATCTTTCCGACAGCACATTACCCACACATTCACATTTCTCAAGGAGGGAGAGCAGAGCTTAGAGCTCCCACATTTTAGTAAATAAAACCAGGGGCTTTGAGACGATTCATTTTGAAAATTAGTCTTATTCTTGTGGATCAATCAAGAAAATGGCCAGATGAAGAAATCCTCAAGCTATTGCCTGACTGACACGAAAATATCATTGTCAAGCATGACACATGATGAGGTTCAATTCCTAGTGAGCTACTCTCACCCCTCTTGATGGGTAGACTCTCCCCCAACCCCCACAGGGTCTCATGTAGATCAGGGTGGCCTCAAAATCACAATGTAGGAGGCCAAAGATGACTCCAAATGTCAGATCTTCCTTCCTCCATCTCCCAAGCGCTAGAATTACAAGCAAGCAGTCTACTAGCTACATTCCCTAGATCTTTTAACTGGCTCCACTTCCATTTTGCCAGGCCATGGATAGGAGGGAAACTGGAGTTACCTCAGCAGGAGTGTGTCCTGCAGAAAGTGTCAGGGTGTGTATGTCCTCTTTGCTTATGCTTACATTTGCTACTCCCTCTACTAAGGATCTGCCTTAGTCCACTTTCACAGAATACCCAGATCTGTCTACTTATAAAGAAGAGAGATGTATTTCTTAAGAAGCTTGGGATAGCCAAGACTGAGAGTCTTGACTCTGGCAAGGTGCTTCTGGCTGTGTCGTCCCATGGAAGAAGGTAGAAGGGTAAGAAGAGACACTGAGTTCATTGTCTCCAGCCTTTCCTTTCAGAGTGGCTGGCTGTCAGCATCTGTGAGTGTGGAACCCTTTTGGCCTAACTACTTCCCACTGATCTCCAACCTCACCCTCAACACTGCTGCACAAGGGTATAAGTTTCCAACATGCTTTTGAGGAGGGAACACTCAAGCCACAGCATGCCACATCTGGCCCTAAAACTTCACATGAAAACTACATTCATTCTGTCTCAATAGACTCCCCCCCCACCGCCCCCCACCACTCCAAGACTTAACTGGCCCAATACCAACTCAAAATCTAGACTCTCACCTAAAGCAATTATGGGTGAGAACCTAGGCATGATACATCATGAGACAAATTCCTCTCCAGCTGTGAGATGTTAAAAATTAAATATGGTGTGTAAGTCCAAAATACAATGATGAGGCAGATAGGCAGACATTCCCATTCCAGAAGAAGAATTAAGCACAAAGGAACACGTAATTGGTTCCATATAACCCAACAACGTAGAGAGTGTTAAATCTTTAGACTCTGGAATAATCATTAAGTACGTGTCCCACATCCTGGCACAGGGTCTCTAAGCTCTTTGGCTGCTCTACCTCTAAGGTTAGGATTGGCTTAGTCCACTTAGCAGCTTTCATAAGTTAGGTCTTACACCTGTAGCTGAAGGGGTTTAGCGGTGGTATAATTCTGAGGTCTCAGAAACTGCCCTATCCCCATCCCTTGACTTTCTAGGCACTGCTGTAGTAGAGACCCTCTAGGCACTCTGTCCTTGTCCCTGTAGCAAGTTTCTGCACGGGCTCCTAGGCTGCCTGTGATTTTAAGATGGAGGCCATCATGGCCTCCTAACTCATAAGTTCTGCAGAGCTATAAGATTAGTACCAAGTAGATGCTATGATGGTCTACGACATGTACCCTCCCTCCAGAATGCCAGTCCACGTATGTATTTAGGCCTGCCTGAGCCACAGCTGGGATGGCCAAGGCTCACTGTACCAGAATACAAGGAGCAGAATCCCAAAGTTGCCCTGCAAGTGAATGCTGGGGACCTTAGTGCACGTCTCTGGAAGCTGCATCCTGAAGAACCCAACCTACTTTGAAGAAATGCCTCTGAGGTCATTCACCTGCTATCTTGATAACCGGAACCTGGGTACCTTTCATCTGTGGTAATTTCTAGTAAACAATCCTTGGTCACATCCCTAACTCCATCTTCTAAAAATGCCTCTTTATTCTTTATCTGGCCAGCTGAGAACTTCCCAAAACTTTCTCCTCCTTCCCGTTTAATGACAAACTCTGTATTTAAGCTATTTTTGTTCTTCCACATCTTACTATATTCAATAAAAAGTAATCCCACATCTCACTCAATATTTAGCTTAGAAATTCTTCCTCCAGAGACCTTAGATCCATCTTCCACGAAGTCTTAGGACATGGACACAGTTCCACCAACCTCTTTGCTGCTGTTTAACAAGGACAGTGTGGTGTTTTGAATGAGAAATGTCCCACCTAGGCTCATGTGTCTGAATACTTGGCCCCCGGTTATGGCAATGTTTGAGAGGTTATTTAGGAGGTAGAGTCTTGTTGTAGGAAATATATCATGAGGGGAATGATTTGAGGGTTTATAGCCTTGCCCCACTTCTTGTTCATGCCTGCCTTCCTGTGTGCCGATGAAACGTGGTCGGCCAGTTTCTCGTGCCTGCCACCATGTCAAGCTTCCCAACCATGATGGACTCTCGCCCTCTGGAACCATACGCTAAAATAAATCCTTTCTGTCTCCAGTTGCTGTGGGTCATGGTGTTTTAGCACAGCAGCAGAAAAGAACCTGACACAGACATCCTCTATTTCCATTTCAAGATCCTTGTTCCTCACTCCCACCTGAGACCTCGTCAGAAGGCCTTCGCCATCCGTATTCCTACAAATACTTTGATCATGAACATGGATGTAATCTCTAAGAAGTAACAGGCTTTCTCCACACTGCTGATCTTTACCCTCTCATCAGAATCATCCTTACTGAGCTGGAGAAATGGCTGAGCAAGGAAATCCAGTTGCTGGTCTTGTAAAGGACCTGGGTTCAGTTCAAGCACCCACATTGGGGGGGGGGCTCCCACCTGTCCATAACTCCAGTTTCTGGGCATCCAACTCCTTCTTTTGGCCTCTGTGGGCACCAGAGTACACATACACACACAGACATGTAGGCTCTAACATAGCCCTAAAATAAAAATAAATATTCTTTTAAGAAAGGAATTACCCTTCACCCTGCATTGAGGCATCTCCAAGGCTGCTGCCCCAGATTCTTCCAGATTCTCCTCAGGACTAGTTAGTTCCCAGCCAGTCACACACGGTCAGGTATTGATTATACCATCAGCCCTGCTTCTCAGGACCAATTATGGGTCTAAGTCCATTCTGTGTACTTAGAACAGGATAGTGCAGACTGGGTAATTTGTGAAGAGCAAATTATTTTCTTTCTTACAGTTCTAGAAGTCCAAAGTTGAAGGGTCCAGACCTGGCAAAGATGTTTTTGATGCATCACCCTATGATGGAAGGGTAAGAAAAAGGCAAGAGCAAGAGACAGAACTCACAGCCTCATGCCTATTCATAATTGGATTAATTTATGCCTGACTACAGCGCCTTCATGACATAAATACCTCCCTCCAAGCCCCACCCCCAACAGGTCCCACCCCAACAGGCCACACCCCAACAGGCCCCACCCCCAACTCCGTTTACAACACACACTTTGGAGAAGACATGTTTAAACCACCCTAGGATCAATCTGAAAGCTGTAAGATCCCAATCGCTATCTGTGATGGTCGGCTTTAGTGGCAACTTGTCACAAATTAGAGTCATCCAAGCAAGCAGCCTCACCAGAGGATTTGTCCTGATTGCCTTGATTGATCGGGGAAGGGCCACCCCA